ATGTTGCTACTTGAGAATTTAACTGACAAAATGAAAACATAAGTTAAAAACGTTTTGTGATAAATAGATTTTTGTAACTCTTTTTCTGACCATACAGGTGAAAAAGCCAGAGGGCAAATATCAGAAGACCAGTACGGGAGTGGTCAAATTGCAGCCTAAAGCAGAAGAACTGAAGTTTGTTACCAAAAATGATGGTTATGTTCACATTCATCCTTCATCTGTGAATTATCAGGTCAGGATTCTTTTTTTTTTTCCTGCAAAGCTGAAAGCGGGGTTTTAATCATTAACCACATACTTGGTTTGTAAAGGCTTTGTACTGTTCATCACTCTTGCTTTGAAAGAGCATAACAAAGGCACCCATGAAAATGTCCTTAACATGGAACGCAGAACTTGGGGCCTTGAGGCGACATTGATGAATTAGCTGATTTCTCACATGCTCACTGCAAAGCAGGATGGAGCAAGGGATAACTGGCAGCTCTTACAGGTCAGAATCTGTTAGTCATGCAAAGTGCATTTTAGGTACATTTGCTGTTCTTTGCAGCCATAGAAGAGGCAGGCAGGCTCATATTTCCCTGAGCTGGTAGGAAGAGATGTGGTACTTTAACGAGGATGTTGTGTATGTGTTCCAGACTAGGCACTTTGAGAGCCCCTACCTGGTGTATCATGAGAAGATCAAGACCAGCCGTGTGTTCATTCGAGACTGCAGCATGGTGTCAGTGTACCCACTGGTCCTCCTCGGAGGCGGGCAGGTCCACATGCAGCTGCAGAAGGGAGAATTTGTCATTTCTCTTGACGATGGATGGATACGGTTTGTGGCTGCCTCTCACCAGGTAAGGAAAAGAAGGGATAATCCTGGGAGTGCTGCAGAGCTCTGCTTGTGTGTGGAATTTTGTGAGCTTTACGCTGATCTCTGTTTTACTGTAGGTGGCTGAGCTGGTGAAAGAGCTGCGCTGTGAACTAGACCAGCTGCTGCAGGATAAAATCAAGAATCCCAGCATGGACTTATGCATGTGCCCCCGTGGATCTCAGATCATCAGTATGATTGTAAAGCTTGTGACCACGCAGTAACGTGAGAACAGCTTTCTGTACTCACTGTTTGCTACTGCCTGAGAACAGACCAGCTAACATCAGTGTCTTGATGTATTTGTCATCCCAAAACATGCCACTGATCTCTGGAAGACCAAGTTGGCACCTGTATTATTGACAGGGTTTGGGATTATTTGGTTTGGTTTCTTTGTTTACAGACAGCTTGTTTCTTGAAAGTAAGGTGGGTTATACTACACACTGGGACATGGGAAGATGGCAAATCTCACAAGAGGACTAGAAACTGCCAGCTAAGGAAGTGTTTTTTCATGGGGCCATACACTGGCAATAGTGTTTTCTGGTCACAAAAATACCTGCTACCTAGCTGCTTTTTTGTAATAGTGGTATCTCGAGGCAGCATGTGAGATCATAAGCTGCTCCCAAATTGGTTTAAACTCACTTCTACATTTTGGCCAAGACTTCACTGAGTTAGTCAGTCATAGCTGACAAGAGATGGAGCTGCTTACAGTTCAACCCAAAGCCCTTAAGAAGGTGAGCACCTTTTGATTCATGTCAAGGGATTCTGAAATAGGTTTAGAGAGCATCCCCTGGTGAGGAGACTACTGGATCAGTTGGAGTAACATGTTGGACTTGTGCAGGCTGTTCTGGTTACAGTGTAAAACTGCAGGAA